ATACGTATATAGCAATTTCAATAAACAAGACAATCCCTTTTTTAAGACTCAACAATTTCTTCAACTCAGGACTGAAACTTTTTACCTATAATTTTTTTTTTTATTGCCCTTGTAGGCAGACGAGCATACGGCCCACCTGATGGTGAGTGGTTACCGTCGCCCATGGACTTCAGCAATGCCAGGGGCAGAGCCAAGCCGCTGCCTACCGCTTAATACTCTCCACAAGCCTCGTTTGAAGAAGGACATGTCATAGCGCTCGGGAAACTCCGTGGAGGGGAGCTCATTCCATAGCTGGATGGTACGTGGCAAAAAAGACCTCTGGAAACGCACTGTGGATGACCGCAGTGGCTCCAGGTAGTATGGACGAACTCTACTCCGGTGGCGGGCGGTGCGATGGTAAAAACGAGATGCCGGTATCATCTCGAACAATTCCTTATTATTAATTCCTTATTAATTATTCTGTTGCTGTGCTTTGATTATTTTATAATACACTATCAAAACTGAAATGTCTTCTTCTATTACTGTAGAAAGACTTTATGAGGATATCAACGAAAGTAGGTACATAATGCGGATGAGAGTGGCAGTGAAAAGGGTTGGGTCGCCGATAGATAAGAGTGGACAGTCGGCAACGTCATTTCCAGCTCGTAAAGCCACGGCAAAACCCTATTTTATCAGGACATCTTAGTAATTTTCAATTTATAAGGGAATTTTCTCAGTATATCCCTAAATCACATAGTTTTATTTTTCCTTTGAAAAATTATGTTTATTCTTACCAATGGTCATACGATGATCGAAATTCTACCATAATCACTTCAACATTTAGATTTATTTTTTATATTATATTAAAAACTTTCAAGGACGTTTTTTTTTTAAATCGCATTTTGATGAATTAATAATGTCTATTCTACTCTAAATTAATGGTTTTTTTTCCGTTCTTATTCGCTGGCAGTCTAAGGAGCTATTCCGATTAGGCAGCTACACTCAACCGGGTAGGTGAACTCACGGGCTCAACCTGAGAGAATTAGCAAACACTAGAGCCCTAACAAGAGCAGTGCTTCGCAGAATTTACCACCGGATCGGAATCGCGACCCACTGAAATAATCCGGCGAGAAACTCAGTGGGCAGTTTTTTGGCTAATTTTACTTGTTTATTTTATTTGAAACTAGGAAAATACAGACACGTTCAGCTATGAACAATACAAAATGTATAAAATTCACCCATTTGTTGAAACTACTTACTGTCAATTAATCGTGCAAGAGCAAACAAGAAATCGACAAATTTTGATCGCAATTAGTTCATAAAATACGATAACAAAATTGTGATTTTTAATAATAGAAATACACCTAGTTTTCGTGTGGATTTTATCATGTAAAACGCAACTTCATCCTAGTTAATTAATTGAGTTTCAAATGTTTTAATCAAAACATTATCTCCTTTTAAAATGGATGACCGACATTCTATTAATTTTATGACGTGTTCCATATTTATTTTTGTGGGAACAGGCGTTTCATCATTAGGCGTGCTATCATTAGGTTTTTCACATACGACATAATTATAATTCGAGCAATTTTAATTCTGTATTAAAGTTTTCTTTTATACCTTCCTAATTACCAGTACACTGACGTAAACAATCGCCAATTGCCGACTTGACTTTGTCGGTTCATCGCATGGGCTACATTCCTGATCTTGCGGACCGAATGGTAAACAGTCGACGTCGCCCAAAATACGTCATTTCGGATCCTCCCGATCCACTAACGGTGCTTTTAAGTACCCCAAGCACCGGTCATCGTTTTCGTCGAACCCGTCGCTTGCGACGAAGAGCTCGGCGAGTAAATTAACTCACAGACACAGCCCACTGAGTTTCTCGCCGGATCTTCTCAGCGAGTCGCGATTCCGATCCGATAGTATATTCATTCGCGAAGCAGCTACTTTTGAGTTGTTAGGTCTGAAGGCACTCGGGTAGCTCTTGGCAAATCCCACTCTTCTTGGCTGAGCCGTTGCTCGCCCACCTGTCCTGGTAAAACTGGAAAGCCACCAGTAACTTCTCTAACATAAAAAAAAGATACTGAATGCCACGACTGCCCTGCCACAGACCAGTAGTATTCTGCTACACCGGATGATAGGCTAACTCACGGGGCTTGCCTGAGAGACTTTGTTAACATCTGCTCTAGCAACAGTGGTTCTCAGCTGAATCTACTGCAGAGTCGGAATCATAAGCCACTGAGAAAATCTTGCAAGATACCCTATGGGCTGTCTTTATGGGTTCGTATTATCCTTATTCTGTAAGTCTAATTATTTAAGATGTCGGCTAATTCGGAATATAAATGTAAACACATGTTAACGTCACCACAGTGTTACGAAACTTTGGATATGTTTAATCACATGTGTTAGAAATTGAACGGTACAGACTTCACTAGTTGGCACGTTACACATCGTTTTACGTAAGATTAATTGCTGGGCATTACCGACGCGTACGCTAAAGTCCTTCACATGACCAATAATTCAATTTACAAGCATTCGCAAGTTTTCACCCCTATTATTCAATGTCAGTTCGACATTTGCTAATAGTTTTTATTTTTACCACTCAATTAGTAAAGGAGAAACAACAATCTATCTGAAATGCAATAAAAGTTTTAAAAACTAAAGTGTATTTCTGGCGCGAAGCAGTCATGCCGATTTGAAGGTGAGTTAGCAGCATTCAAGTTATGGTGTCTATTAATTCCGGTAAATACTTATCAACAGATAGAGCATAAGCTTGTTGACTCATCTACCCAATAAAAATAATCAAACGAGGTAATATAAATTATTAATTTAGCTCCCGATATCCATAAGCTCTGCACACTCAACGGCCCGAATTTTATGTGGTGTTAAACCGTTACCGGAAATCCTATAGAGAAAAACAATTACATACATATTTAACAAAGATAGTAACGCCAATCGGCAATCGAACTCCGCTAAAAAATAGCCAAGGTAACTAGCCAACTATTAAGACGATCAAAGTATGTACTAAAATTTAAATATATTTATTAAATCTCTTCGGTTTTGGTTTGCCCTATGTAATTAATTATATAGGGCAAATATAGGTAGGGCATAAATATGTAATTTTAAAATAATTAATTAATTAAATAAATTTGCACTAGGTATATGAATTAAGTTTGCCATTAGTGGTCACCTTCGCTCGTTGTCGTCAGCAATATCAGGGACACAGCCAAGTCTCTGCCTACTACTGAGAGCACTCCTCAAATTTAAAGGTAATTATTGTTACCATAAATAGTATTTTTGTATACAAACAACATACATACATGTTGTTCAATATGGCAGTCCACAAATTCAAAATATTATGAAGAATATCAAAATTAATGAAATCTATATTTATTAGTTTTAATAATATATACAGAGAGTTTGGCTCTTTCTAGGTAGGAGTATATTCTATTCCTATCCTATTATAGTAGGAGTGTATTCTTTGGGGCTGTTTAAAATGATCCCGATATCCTCTTTTCATCATTGCTGCACTCGCCCATACAGCAGAATCGATCTCTTACATCTTAAACCGTTCATTCATCCAGTACGGTTCGAGATATACTTCATATTTTACCACATACCATTCAACTCTAGAATGAATGCCCCTCTTACGAGTTTCCCGGGGGCTATGGCATGTCCTTTTTATCTACGAGATTTTGAAAAGGTTCTTATTGTTAGAACTTGGCTGCGTCCCTGGCATTGACGTAAGCGACTGTGATAACTTAAAATCACTTAGATAATAAGCCCGCCTGTTTTTTTGATCTAGCAACACTTTATTTACACGGTGTACTTTTCGCATCGCAACGTTGATATACCTTGTCGCGGTGACGTGCTGCAACCACTGGCAGCCTTGGTGAAGTTAAATACTGTGGTCTTTCGTTGTAACAAAGAAATGTACTTCATAATGTAGTGTTCCTTACTAAGGTAAAAGCACGCCGGATTAAAATTTTAAAGCGGTTGGACCCCGGACCTTCTAACAATCGAATAAGGTAGATGCAGGGCTTATTGCAAGTGAAAATGCACGCGTAATGGATTTTCCTCGCGGAAACAAAACAAAGCAAGTGGAGCAGTTCATGATAATTTGCGAAAAATTAAAGTAGTGCTGCAAATGATCCACGCCTAATTTACTGTACCAACGGTAATTTCCATCCGTATCTTAGTTTCACAGTTTTGTAATGTTTTCTAGAATCGGAGAAGGTATGAGGAAATTAAAAACTACTTATACGTTGTAATAGCGTTCATCCATCCCGCGTACTTTGTGGTACTCTATTGTATTCCTTAAAATATATATTTTTAAACGTAAATAAGTGCGATAAAACATTCCGAAAAGTTTTTATGAAACGTAAACCAACATTCGGGCACATCGCTTCACCCGGAATTAACAAGTATTAGGAATAATTAAAACTAATTGGATGCAATAGACGAATGTTATCTGTGAATGATGTAAATGACATCATAAGTGGAATAGGCTTGCTCTTTGTTTTTGACTACTAATACATCATATCTTAATGTTCCTATATTTTAAATAAATAAATAGAAAATTGTCGAATGTAAGTCATTTTCTGATTCTGCTAGTCTGTATACTTCAACGTACCAACAAAACCATTGAAATATGTATAATATGTTTTTAAATGTATTGAAGTTTGTATAGTAAAACTGAAATATGATATTGACGTGATGAAATTATTATATTACATTTATTATTGTTCTGTGTACTAAGTAATATTGGACAAGCATAATTCAACTTTGAAATGTATTTACGTGACATTTTAGTAATTTAAACTTATACTTAGTTCATACATGTGCTCCAAAACATAAGCTTTATTTTTATTAATTTATCTAAAGGAATTTCATTTTCTAATAGTTACCATAAAATTACTGTTATAGTGTAAATAGGTTTTTTTTTCAACCATTAATTTTTTAGAAATTTTTCAAATATCATAACAATATTACACTAAATTTAAAATGAGTAAACTTACCCACTGCCTAATTAATTTTTTTCTTAATGTCTGAACGTAATTTTAAGTTCGATAGAAAATAATTAACACTTCGCGATCAGAAATTCACTTCATCGTAAAGCTAATTTTGATAAAGTTCTCTGTAAACGCCAGCGTAACACACTACTTGCGCCCGCAACTTCTGCGATTACATTCACGCGCACCGCTCTCACTGAAACGTAGGAAGAATCATTTCTGTGTTCGCGGATGCCGCCGGCCTGCACCAATCTGTTGTCTTCCAATACATAAACAAACTGCCACTGAGATGAAGCTAGTCACGGACGAAGCAACACTGTCCATATGCACTTCATTTCTAACAAATTTTATATTAGATCAAGGATTGAAAACATGTAAATGGTTTATAAAATAGAATACGTCCATTGAAAACATTTCGAAATAATACGAAAACATTGTGGACGAGTAGGCCTTTAGTACTAACGCGATTTAGTAGAACTTCCGCGTCTGCGCGGTACGACTGTGTGCGTCCTTGAATGGAGGGCTAATTTGAACGCTGTGTCTTTGCTTTAAAGTCGACGCGATGAACCATTGTCACCCCTCACTGCAGTTTATCAATCCATTGCTAAAGAAATATAGAATCTACGTCAACACTGTAGAGTCACGTTTACTTTGGTGAAGCTTGCTGCAGACGTACATGACACGTGGCGAGGGGCCAGATGATTGCAGTTTCGTGAACTCACGCACGCACGACCCCTCAATGCTATAGGGTTTCAAATGAAAGCAATTACGATTGTACGTATTCTGATCATATGTCCCGTCTAAATGAACGTAGCTTGAACTAAATCTTAAAATCAATACACGCACACGTGCGACCCGATTAGGGGCTTAATATGTAAGACGGATGATATAATCATATGTACAAAACCTCTAATGCGTTTTTTTTTAAATACGCACCTAAAAAGGGTTTAGGTACCTTTTTTCCCTGCCTATGGTGATAGCCTTGAGAGGATTTTTCAGCTTCGCCTTAACATGTAGGTGAGCTCACGGGGCTCAAACCGGAGTGGTTCTAACACTGACCCCAGCAAGAGCAATGCTTCGCAGAATCTATCGCCGGATCGGAAACGCGACCCACTGAAAAGATCCAGCGAGAAACTCAGTGGGCTGTGTCTGTGGGTTAATTCGCTCGTCAAGCCCTTCGTCGCAAGCGACGGGTTCGACGAGGACGGTGACCGGGTTGGGTTTACGAACAACTTCGATGAATATGGGATCGTGTCGTACATCAAGAATAAAAACCGTAGTCGTAGAGCGTATTGTAAGTCCGCACCGACGGGTACTACCATGCTGCCTATATCTGCTAAGAAGCAAACAAGCTTCAGTTTTATTTGTAGGGGAGGACAGCCGTTATAGGTACGATAAAATTGAGACTTCAACCTTAAGAGTCAATATATTTATTAAAAAATATTCTTCGGTTTTCGTGAATCGTACACATAATTAAAACTGCTTTTAATTATCCCATCTGTCAAGGTAAATGTTGACAATTGATGGACCTGCCCGCCAGTAATTAAAAGCCTCTCAGCAATTCTATTGTACATATTTAACAATAATTAAATTAAAATTCCCACCAATTCCAACAAGCATTGACTTCCATGACATAATATGTCGGCCAATGGTAAAAATTAAAGTCATTAATATAAAATATGTTCTAAGGACACTTGCTAGCCGGAAATGACTAAGGAGTTAAGCTATTAATTTTATCTTAAGGTCCTTTTCCATTAGCCTCTTTGAGCAAAATCCTAAGTCCCCGAGATCGCCATACCACCAAAATACCTGCCATATACTCGATTAATTTAATCCAAATTAATCCAAATTGAAGTCGTCGTGCCCTAAAGGATAAAGACGTCCGGTGCATTCGTGTCGAGCGATGCACCGCTGTTCGAATCTCAGGCGGGTACTTATTTTTCTAATGAAATACGTACTCAACAAATGTTCACGATTGACTTCCACGGTGAAGGAATAACATCGTGTTTTAAAAATAAAACCCGCAAAATTATAATTTGCGTAATTACTGGTGGAAAGACCTCTTGTGAGTCCTAGCGGGTAGGTACCACCACCCTGCCTATTTCTGCCGTGAAGCAGTAATGCGTTTCGGTTTGAAGGGTAGGGCAGCCGTTGTAACTTTACTTGAGACCTTTGAAATTATATTTCAAGGTGAGTGGCGCATTTACGTTGTAGATGTCTTTGAGCTTCAGTAACCACTTAACACCAGGTGGGCTGTGAGCTCGTCCACCCAACTAAGCAATAAATGAAAAAAAAAAGAGCAAACTGAGAGAATAATTAGAAAATCGATTTGATATAGACCGTAGTGGCTTACTTAACGCTTCTCCATACCCGTAAAAAAGTTCTGTATATCATGGTCATAGAGGCGCCATTATCATTAGATGCTCAATGCCTCCAATAGATTAAAGAAGGTGACAACTAAAGACCTCTTAAATATAAAACAACTGACCTTTTTTTTATTTCAGAGAATCCTAGACTGCTAACTAAATCTGTCGACCATTAAACCAGGAGACGCGATGCCGGCAGCCTCTAGATAAAAAAAATACATTCACGAATTTCGCGTTCGCTCATAATTATTTTCTTTGCTGTCTTTATTTCTCCTTGTCTGTGTGATGGTAGCTAAAAGACGGCTCAGGTGGGTGCCATCACCGTACCCATTTCTCTCGTGAAATAATCGTGTATTGCAGAAAGCACTTAGGAGTACTTACAATAACTTTTTCAATACCGTTGAGACTGCTTGCCACCTCGTGTTTAAAGTGGGCGACTTCATCCACTACTCTATAGATCTCTAAGCCACTTAAAATCAGATAGACAAATCCAAAATTAAAAAGTTTTCTTGCGCATTGCAAAACTTCTCAATCTACATTTAATTTTTTTACGAAATCAATGGAGAACTTACGCTTACACTTGGCGCTGGTTTGCTGGATGTCGGAGTAGAGCCGACTAAAGCCCTTTCTCGTTCATAAGACCGCATCACTTTATATATTGCATTTTCGTTTTGCTAAACAAAATTATTGGCATTTTAAAGAAACACTTATTTCAGTTTCTTTGGAACGAAGTTCCTTATGGGACGATGCGGAACCCTAACCGGGAATAAACGTCCATAACGTAAGATTTTTATCATTTATGTATAGTCTTAGTATGATGGCTATACAGTGACTAATGTACAGTCTACGTGATGACGGTTATTATTATTTCTATGATAAAACATAATTAGGCTTAATTATTATTATTCATATAAATAGCAGTTTCTTTGTATATATTTTTTATAAATCATTGTAAATAAAATAAAGTTGATAACTTTGTAAAGTAGTTTTTTTTATCAATAAAAAATCATAATAAAAAATGTATACCCGAATAAATATTTTCTTTATACCTCGAATAGAACTTAAAATTAATATTTTTTAAGGAACTTCGTTCCTGTCCGGTGTCCCACGACACCACACATTTAGTTTTTTTACATGCAGTGCATGGCGGACACCCATTGCTAAAAAAAATCGTAATTACAAGCTGTTAGTAAAACCACAAATTATTTTTATACTCGATTTTAATAGACAGAAACATCAAATTTAATATAAATTGACTTAAATTGAAAATATTATTACCTATATGTTAAAAACGTTTGTTTGGTCAAATTTAGTGTTTGTTTTTTAATATTTATTAAAAGTCAATTTTATCCGAAATAAGTATTGGATATTGACATAAAAGTTGTTTGTTGCACTTAGATATGTACAGCAGTCATGTTTCGACATTAGCAGAATCAGAAATATAAAACCCATCTTTTCTTTTAAATAAGTGACATTACCACAGGTGTAATTAGTAATTTCTGGATAAAAGCGAATTGTTTCTTAATGGAATACTTCTTGAACGAAATCGCCAAACAAATGACTGCATTGTACCATATCGACAATGACATATTTTTGTTTTATTTTAAAATTTTGATCATATCAGGATTTATTTTATTGGAACTTAAAATTATTTATTTTCTTAATATTACAAGGAAATAATACTGATATTCCTTCATATATAATTCCTCAGCAATAATTTTAAAAACTAGTAACATTAAATAAACTGTAACAGCAAAAATTTTGCGGAATCCAAGAAATTCATAATCGCAAATGTCTTGCATGGACATTTCAACCATTCTAATATATATTTTTATTTGATATAATATTTAACATAAGAATAAATACATTCAGTTTGTGCTAAAGCGTTTCATAATCTCGTGTTTATTTGTTATAAATTATTTGAATAATAACAGACATTAATTTATTTCCCTTATTTTTAAAAAGTCGTATAATAAATCTATAAATATTTATTAATTTGCTTTACATTGCTGGGTTAGCTTAAAACAATATTTTAGTGTAACCATAAGTTGAGCGCTAGGATCAGTGACATAACGTTTACTGAAAGGTTTGATAAATGAAGATATTTACAAAATCATGAGATATATTGTATAATAATAACTTTAATTAATTTTTGATATAACATACTAAAAATTTTGAACAGCACGTAATGAAGCACGTTACGAAATAAGCTAAATCGCGGGAGCTGTGTAGCGTTCGCCATCTGGCTTGGTTTTGCTGTGCGTGGTCACGTAACATCAAATTAGATAAGCGAATAAAGTATTTTATTTACACACAATATAATTACTGGTTGTTTTGTAGCATATATTCTTTATGAAGAAATTATGACACTGATTTTGGATTTAATGTTTGACCGAGCCATTTCCTGATGCGGCCGCAAAATATTGCCACTTAATCTTTTTCATACAATAAGAAAAATTTTCGAATTAATTGCCAAGCAGTTTGTATTCTACAGAGAATTTTTTCAACACACATCTGCTTCGATCGTTGTGCTGATTTGGGTATTATATTTTCAACATTACTAGCTAGTTTAAAATCGCGTTTTCTTCATCTATTTCATTACGTGAACACCGATTATTTCAACTATTCTAACAATAGTATTCGGAATTGCTTATATCTACTACTAGCTGACCCGGCAGACTTTGTAGTGCCTCAATGAATCCTAAGCTTTTGTATAAAATAAACTTAAAACAAACCAAAAGAATCCGTCCGACGGGGGACACATGAAAGGAAAAACAAGATTGTTATTTTTATTTAATTCTGAGCATTTTCATATTTATCTACCTTTTAAACCTTCTCTGGACTTCCACAAATAATTCAAGATCAAAATTAGCCAAATCGGTCCAGCCGTTCTTAATTTTTAGCGAGACTAACGAACAGCAATTCATTTTTATATATATAGATTTTCTTGCAATATCGCAATGTTGAACAAACTACATCGCAATTTATTGCTAGTTACTTTTTTTAATATGTTTATTTTATTATGGCCCCTTCATTACGCTTTGTTTTGAGCTTTACATTAAGCTTTAAGACGAGCAATAGTACAAACGTCATTTGTTTAATTTTTAGGTCGACGCAGATGTGGTTACAATTATACATGAAATTTTCAAACAAACTCGTATAGTTTGTAGTGTTTCTAGACTAGTTTTGCTATTCAATTGATGAACATGCTGAACGCACAATTCATGTTGGACATCACACAAATGCGGTCACCCATCTTAAGCATGTATTAGGATGAGTGACCGAAGTCTCAATTGAATTGTATTATGGCTGTCCCTCTCTTCGAATCGTATGACGGCTTCGTGGCAGAAATATGACATGTGGTGGCATCAACCCGTACAAGTCCACAATAAGGTCCATAAGTAACATATTTCGTATATTATAAAATATTTACGTTTTGTAGACTGTATTTTAATGAATAGAATACTGAAATTGGTTTTTAAATAATTTAGCAATTATTATTTTCAAATATGCTAAAAGAATAAAGCTTTACATATTAGATACTGACGCTTGAAAGGCAAACGTGACTAAGCGACAATGCGTGAACTTTACAGTAGACTAATGTAAAGATGAAATACCTGAAGAAAAAAAAAATTAACGAATCTAGCTGTAAGATTGAAATGATTTTAATAGACCTAGAAATATTTTTTTTTGCGCTTCGAATATGGTTATTGCCAATCATTTATGTACAAAGCAGTTATTGTCGCTTAATCACGTTTGCCTTTCAAGCGTCGATACACATTTTTTGCTATTTAGTGGCGATGACGTCATAAGCCGCAATGCAAGCTGTCGTATTGTTATTTCATAACTACCTCCACCAGTTTTACATTCATTTCTCAATTAAATAAAGGCCATGTTAAATAAACTTTTTCTACGAATCTCATTCGAATTCATAAGTTTTTTGTGTAGTTATAATTCAGTCGTTTTTGCATCTAACACATTTTATTTTTCTTTATGAAAATCAGTTCTTTCAATCTTATTGTTAATGACTAGTACATTATTAAGAATCATTAAAGGTTATTTTTATTCGCATTTCCTTTCACAAATAATAATAACTTGTAGTGTATACAAGATATGACTAGATTTTTGTTTGTACCCTGTACTTTTGATGGCAGTTTTGATTTCCGTTTTAATCATTTCATTTAGCAACGATGGAGAAATTCGAAATCCATAAACCAATAACACATGTAGAACGAAAATCAGTCTTTTTAAAATGCAGGCCACTTATATACTATCATGCTGATATTAAAATTACAATAACATAATGTAACAAGTTATGTTTGAGATCAAAATGTTTAGTTAAAAATTTTCAAGTATGTGTATAGAAATCACAGATAATAAATTCTAGCACGTGCATATTTTTCTCTCCTGTCTGGCTTGTAGTTTCTGTAGAGATTGCCGGCGACGTCCTGATGCACAAAGCATAGCGTATTCCACAGAATGCTCCATTCTGTAAAACAAATAAAACATTACCGGTCTCTAAAATGAACCTTTAATATGTTATCTTAGGTATGTGATTTCTAGCCATTATTAATCAAGTCTTAATTAAGTCTAAGTCACTATAGAGATTAATTGAAAAGTTATGGGTGATTATACAAAAATTGGGTAACTCTATGTCATCAGCCAATATATACAAAGTCTTATTATATTTTATTGAAATACCAATTTATTTTAAAACAACGAAACGTCCTTTATTTGGTCACCCAATTTCACTTCTTTATTTTAAATACAAGTTAGTAAAAAAACCAAATTAATACTTAAAACGTCAGTCCTTTGGCANGTACTATGTTAGCCTCGTCAGTCCCCTGGCAGTCAAATTCAGAAAATTTTAAATATCTCACAATCTATTTAAAAAAGTGACTGGCCCGATTTGGAAGAAGATAATCATTAGATTAGCCATCATATACACCCAAATTTGTAACAATTTGATTTAATAACTATAGTAAACAAAATATCCTCAATAGTTACCCAACTTTTGTATAATCACCCTTATACACATTTAAAATTTATCAATATCATTAAAAAGAAAACGTATTTTCTTTTCATAGTGAAGTTGTCGTGGCCTAAAAGACAACAAGACGTCCAGTGCATTCATATCTAGCGATGCAACGGTGTTCGGATGCCGCAGGTGGATACCAATTTTTCTAATGAAATAGGTACTTAACAAATGTTCACAATTGACTTCCACGGTGAAGGAATAATTCTTAACCTGGTGTAATAAAAATCAAACCCGTAACATCAGAATTTGCACAATTACTGGTGGTAGGTGGTAGGTAGTAGGTAGTACGTGAAGCAGTAATGCGTTTCGGTTTGAAGGGTGGGGCAGCTGTTGTAACCATACTGAGACCTTAGAACTTATATCTCAAGGTGAGTGGCGCATTTACGTTGTAGATGTCTATGGGCTCCAGTAACCACTTAACAGCCAAGTGGGCTGTGAGCACGTCCAACCATCTAAACAATAAAAATCATAGCCATTAGAAATCATTAATAACGTTTGAACATTTCAGTTGTTTTCACTGGTGGTAGGACCTCTTGGGAGTCCGCACGGGTAGGTACCACCACCCCGCCTATTTCCGCCGTGAAGCAGTAATGCGTTTCGGTTCGAAGGGTGGGGCAGCTGTTGTAACCATACTGAGACCTTAGAACTTATATCTCAAGGTGGGTGGCGCATTTACGTTGAATATGTCTATGGGCTCCAGTAACCACTTAACACCAGGTGGGCTGTGAGCTCGTCCATCCATATGAGCAATAAAAAAAAAAGTTGGAAACTAGCCTTTTATTTTAAAGAATGGTGTTTTATTGCATAGCAGAATTTTTTATATAGGTACTGTTCTACCTTTATCATCACTTTGATATCAATATCGCATAAATCTTATTAAGCTTTAACAAGCAGTGATAAAAATCTGAATATCTTCATAGGATCTTTTTTTTTTTTTTTATTTCTTTTTTTTTATTGCTTAGATGGATGGACGAGCTCACAGCCCACCTGATATTAAGTGGTAACTGGAGCCCATAGATATCTACAACGTAAATGCGCCACCCACCTTGAGATATAAGTTCTAAGGTCTCAATATAGTTACAACGGCTGCCCCACCCTTCAAACCGAAACGCATTACTGCTTCACGGCAGAAATAGGCGGGGCGGTGGTACCTACCCGTGCGGACTCACAAGAGGTCCTACCACCAGTAATTACGCAAATTATAATTTTGCGGGTTTGATTTTTATTACACGATGTTATTCCTTCACCGTGGAAGTCAATCGTGAACAATTATTAAGTACGTATTTCATTAGAAAAATTGGTACCCGCCTGCTGGATTCGAACATCGGTGCATCGCTAGATCCGAATGCACCGGACCTCTTATCCTTTAGGCCACGACGACTGAATCTTGTCCAATTAATCTAATATAACCATTAATGTCTTATCTGATATCAATTATAAAACTTAAATGTGGCAAAATCCTTCAAACATTTACCTTTCTTTTGACTCTTCTGAAAACTACAGAAAATTTTACTTTCACTATTATTAGTTAACAACTAAGTGGTTTTGATTTCCTTTCATTACAAGAATCTAAATCTTATTAAAGGGTCATCGAAGGTCAGGACTGTGCAGGACTTTGCAAGGGTTATATCCAGCTTTTAAGATCAATGGATCAAATTGTAATCTAAACAATAAAGTAGCTGTTAATAAACCAGTACATAACAATCTTATTTCTTGATAATTAACTATCTTATCTCAACTTTTTTTTACTATTACTCATTATTATAAGTGTACACTGTCTTAAGTTCATATTATTTTTGGTAATCATGTTTTGGTGAACAATGAAATACACTATCCTCTCCTTTTTTTTTCAATGCAAGAACTTCAGTATTTGGATAAAAATGGTTCTTAATTGAGTATCACACAGATAATTTAATAAAACTCCTATCAGTCATATTTTACTATTATATTGGGTTATCAAGCACTTAGGTACTTTTATATCAGATGACTCACCTATACATAACTCTATCTAGCAATATATCTATTGCTCTATCAATATTTTGTCCTGTTTTGGCACTAGTTTCTAAATATGCCAAGTTGTGGTTTTTGGCAAATTCTCTGGCACGATTCTGGTTCACGAGCCTTTTCTCTTGCAAGTCACACTTGTGGCCACAAAGGACGATATCTGGATCATCACTTAAGCTGTGTGTCTGAAAAAAAAGGTTAACAATCTAATATTTGTTTTTTTTATAGTTTTGCTTGCTGTAAAACATTTTAGGTTGTATAGTTTCTGAAGAAAGGCTTCAATAATTAACAATGTGTGATGATTAATAACATTTCTATCTATTTGGAAAGCAAGCAGCCAATAAGTTTGAACCTCATTCAAAATCAAAATGCTACTATTTTTTCTGAGAATTAAGCAAAAATTTACAATGTCATGGAAATGTATTGAATGCAGATAGAGCAGTGCTGATTGTTTTGACATATTATATATATTGGGGGCACCTATGTAGCAGCATTAGATGACTTCCAGCAAATAATGCTTTGATAAAAAATAGACATTTTATCTCACCTTCAATTGTTCAATCCAATTGCGTACTTCAAGGAATGAAGCCTCATTGGTCAGGTCAAACAGTAATAGAAAACCCATGGCATCTCTGTAAAAGGCTGTTGTTAAACTTCTAAACCTAAAAATCATATTACTAAATTAATGACAAGTAGTTACTATTTATAAAATTATTTTAGGTAGTTTGGTTGATGTAAAATTGTTAACAACCTAATTTGTAAAGTATTTCGAACACTGCCTGTTTTCCAATAACAACACAAGAGCGCATTATGCCGCATAACGCGCTCTTGTGCTGTAATTGGAAAACGGCCACTACCTGTGTTTCATGTTTTCAAATACCTATGTAAGTTATAAACGTATTTGTTTTCTTGATTATACCTTTCTTGTCCTGCAGTATCCCAAAGCTGTAGATGTATGCGATGCTGCCTTCCGTTTTGCTGATAAATCTATAAAAGTTATTAATTATTATTGTACGAAAATCATTCCTAATCTTACCTTGTACAACAAAGACAAACTTACCACAGTTTTTTCCCTGAAATCAATTCCAACTGTTGATATGAACTGTGTATGAAACACCCCATCGGTGTACTTGTATAAAAAACTAGTTTTTCCTACTCCTGAATCCCCGACACACAACAATTTTATAAGATAATCGTAATCCATGTTACTATTGTTTAAAAAAACTGTAAAAGTAATACATTAATGTATTTATATACCTACAAGACTTTTTAAAACGTCTATAGCCTCGACTCAAAATTCTCAAATCTAGAGTCAGTCAGTATGTACATACGGTACCGGTAAAACGGGGCGATTAGGGATTGAGAGGCGAATCGGGAAAAAACCGGGAAAATCTTTCGACGCTCAATATAAGTTTTATATTCGTTGCAAAATCTTCCATTTTTTGTAGTTTAATAGTAGAATGTTGAAAGTTCACAAAACAACTCTGAATATGCATGATAATAGCTGCTAACTTATAAAAAATCGCGTTTCAAATTAACTTCCTGTGGNAAATATGTTTTAATTATTATTTTTGTATGTTTTAAGCATGATAAAATTAGAAATTTTATATAAGCAATCATATTAAATCGATATCAAAGTCAATAAATAATGTACAACCCAAAACAGACGGCCGAACTGACGTGACAATGACATTTGGCGCGCTAAACATGGCGGATTTTCGGCCTCATTAGACGGAGACGGAGACATTTACGTTTATTCATGTTTCATTTTATGTACGCACTGAAATACTGTTATATTGTTTTCCTGCGAGTTAAAGTGCTGAGTAAGAACGAGATAGATATATGTTTATGTGTGTGCCTTCAAAATGGGTGCTATTTATATAAGCAATTGTACGTATAGAACAATATGTCGTGTCCCTACTATATAGGTCTATGGATCAATCAAATCATTTGACATGACAGACAGCACTTGACGTTTGCGTTTTATTCTCATTAATTGTACAGGAACAAAACGACTTTGATGAAATTTGTGTGAACAAAACGTAAAACATTCACTCATTTCATTCAATTTTTATTTAAATGCTGGCAATACTTTTTAAGGGTGCCATTAAATATTCCTTAGCTAAAGGGCTTCATAATGGAACCATTTATGTTTTGTGCAACGTCTTTAATTTAATGAAATAATTAGTGGTAATGACTCTTTATCTAATGAGATATTTAAAGAACGCTTTCTGCAACTGAGTGTTAATGATTTAAAAGATAACTTAAGAAAGTGCCGCTTCGCCACCTACTACTATTTTTCTACAAACATTGTTCTGTCAATTTAACTATTAAGTAAAATATTGTTTTCACTAGAGATCTTACGAATATTTATTTGGTTAATATAATTAGTAATTTTCTTTTCGATGTACTGTGTGCTTAGTGCGAGTTTTTCAACGTTCTCTATAGCGTAAAAGCTAGCATATATTTGTATGGAATGGCATTGTTTGCCTACGTTTGACGTTAGGGATGCTATTCCAACTGCATACAAAATTGGGTTAACTTTTACGTTATCGAGAACGTTAAAAATCTCGCAGAAAGCACACAGTATTGTTTGTAAACGTTTTAATAATATAATTTTGTAAAGTATTTTAGTTTTATGTATCTACGCTAGGTCGAAGTGGGAATAGGAAGATGTGACACCGCTTTGTGCAGACTCACAACAAGTCCAGACTTTATAAAAATGGGAGGAGTGATTTTTAAATATATAAGACTCAAAACAATCTCACAAGCCTTGGATCTACTGACCAAATTCGAAATAGGCCAACGATTGTTCAATTAATTGCCTTAATCTCAAAAGAAACCTTCGAAGTACGAAAAGGACGGCTTGAGGATAAACCAATAACGGTATTCAGTTTAATTTTGTTTTTGCTCCGCATTTACTCGATGACTGTACCTTACGTAACAAGAGGACATTGCTTCTCAAAGTTTTAATTTATCATGAACATTTTAACAAGTAAAATGCATAAAGAGGTTGTTAAATTACTTACGGAGTCATTAAAGTCTGCACGAGCCAAAATTAATATTAATTGTGCCGTGTTTATTTCGTGCAACAATCGAGTATTGTGATTTTAAGGATGAACATGTAGCGGTAACTATCACTGAATAGAAGATTTCCGATAACCAAATTAGCACTGACGAAAATTCCCAAAAAATTATTTCAACATAAGTTCCAGTCAGCAACAGTCGGTCGGTGGAAAGTCTCTTTAGGTAAAGATAACAACCATGATTCCTATATACAAGTGCACAGCGATGTAACCACTGCCTAGTAACAACACTAACCTCGTTTCCTCATCCTGTGGCACGCACACTGGGATAATCCATTTCCGAAGATCTTCCGTTTTAGTGCTGTGTACGATACTTTTATTGAGATTAAGACTCAACCTCATGACCCAAGGTAGTAAGCACGTGGTAATCTCTGTGTATACGCTATACTAACAACTTGAGCGTGATGTCGCCTCTCATATCCTGTCACTGGTTATTAAAAATGTTGCTTAGAGTGGAGCTGGTGTTTTTCGTATTTTGAACGCTCCAATTTGTTAATAACACTCACTGAAGAATTAAACATGCTGACAGCGGTTTGTGATTTTAACGACATATTATTATTGTTAGCAACTTGTCAATTCTGGGCAGTTTGTCTTTAGTGATAATAAAAGAGAAGTAAATGTATAATACTAAAATAGTAAAGAGCTGGTGGTGGTGGTGGTTACTGGTGGTAGGACCTCTTGTGAATCCGCGCGGATTGGTACAATCACCCTGCCTATGTCTGCCATGAAGCAGTAATGCGTTTCGGTTTGAAGGGTGGGGCAGCCGTTATAACTATACTGAGACCTTAGAACTTATATCTCAAGGTGGGTGGCACATTTACGTTGTAGATGTCTATGGGCTTAACCTGAGAGAATTGCTAACTGATAGTGTTACTAGCCCTAACAAGAGCGGTGCTTCGCTGAATCTACTACGGGATCGGAATCGCAACCCACTAACAAGAGCCGGCGAGAAACTCGGTGGGTTTAGGCCAGTGATGGGCAAAAAGTAATCAGATTAATAATTACAAATTACAGTTACATTGTAATTGGTAATTGAGATACTTTGTAACAGGTTACTTAAGTAACTGATTACAGCGAGTACTTATTGTAATCAGTTATAAAGTAATTCGATTATAAGTTAATCTAATTACATTAACTGTAACAGATTACTTATGTATCTGAAACAAATTACTTATAATTACTGATAATTAATCATATAACTATTTTGTTATGTTATGTTAGGTAGTCTTCCAAAATATATCGTATTAATAATTTTTTTGACAAACACAAAAATAAAACACATTATATCTATATATACTTTATTTTAATCATCTTGTATCATTTTACGTTATTTTTTTTAAATTAATCATTGGCAGATTAAATTAAACATTATTTTGCTGATTTAAAATTTAAATTAACTTTTAATAGGACTCTTTTTTCAAACATTTTGTCTGACAGGCGGTTGGTTGGCTTTCGGACAATTTATCATAATAGCGTACGAAAACAAAAAAAAAGTCGAAAAGAAACACACAAGTGTTATATTCAAAGTAATTACGATTTACGATGTAATTGATTACTATGTAATTAGGTTAGATTGTAATTTAGTTATATTGCAATTAAATACATTGTATTCAATTACTTGCACATCCAAAGTAATTCTAATTACAATGTACTTGAATACTATGTAATCAGATTACATTGTAATTAAATTATTTTGTAGTTTAATTACTAATTAGATTACAAAAGTAACTAGTTACGCCCATCACTGGTTTAGGCTATGGGCTCACGCCAAACTCTTAAAATTAGAACCTATGTATCCCAGCACCAAATTAGCTTTTAATTTTACAATTTCACTGGAGTGCCAATAGCCACGATCCGACAAATGCTTGAGAAAAGCATAGAGCACAACCATTCATTTTATTCAGATTTAGGGAGATAGATAGATATATATTATATAGATATATATTTTGTCTCGACGTTTCTCTCATATTACGTGAATATTCCAATACGAAATATAAGTAAAAGTGGATGTTACGTGTGCTGTTGAATTTAATTTCATTTTCGATTTCAATATAGAATAAAAATAAACGCTTTGATTAACATCGTAATTTCGATTAGAATAATTGAATATGACGGAAATTAGTTGAATAAAATCGAGTGGTAGCACTGTTATGAGCAATAAATTGTTTGTTATAATTAAATTTATCGAATGTGAAGGTAATCGAGCCGGACCTGTAATCGAGTTAACGCATAGACATGCTATTTCGCGTGTTATTTCGAATCAATTTTTTGGGCTATAAATTCACTTCGAGCCATAAGTTTTAGCCACGGTATTACACATTGTTTCTTTCTATAAATAACAAGATTGTGTGCGTTGTTGTTGTTGTTGTTTGTTGTCTTACATAAGGACGGTTGGTTTTTTTAGCATTGCTTTTGCCAATACAAAAAAAAGGAAAAACACTATTCTATTTCCCGATCCATTAACGGCGCTTTTAGGTACCACAAGCACCGGTCACCGTCCTCGTCGAAGCCGTCGCTTGCGACGAAGGGCTCGACGAGTGAATTAACCCATAGACACAGCCCACTGAGTTTCTTGCCGGATCTTCTCAGTGATCATCTTGGTAGTCTCACGGGGCTCAGACACTCCCGGTTGGAGCCCCGTGAGATCACTTACATGTCAAGGAGAAGCTGGAATAGCTTCTCAAAGCTATGAGCATAGGTAGGAAAAGAAAAAAAAAACTATTCTACAGGACTCACAATAATAACTGACATACTACCTATTAAATTATAAAATTTTTACTTTTTAATAAAAAGTTATTAATGAATCTCTATTGAATTGTACCTATACTTTGTTAAAACCCATAAATTGTTAGTGAAGTTTCTACAGATAGCTGCGTGCTTTTCTAGATATTCGTCTTAAGATTCCTCGCGTAGCTTGGAATTCTGTGTTCCGTTCATGCTACAAGTATTATTAACAAGAAACCAGATTCGCAGAACCACGTAAACTGGTTCTGATCTTGGGCTCGATGACTATTTGAAATAACCGTCTATTGCACGTGATCTATAGAGTTGAAATCAATATTGGATTTTTTTCTAAGTGTTTACAACAGCACTACTAAACGGACTATGTGAATAGTTGTGCCAAATAAGATACAAAAATACTACCAATTTTTGTTTAACTGAAAGTTATATTTTTTTTTATTTCATACTACTCTTTTGTAATTGCAAATATATAGTTATTTTTACTTCGTATTTTCATCGTAGTAATTTTAATAATCCATTAACAAAAACTCTTAAACAATATTTTCGAAATTTTATTGAGACCTCAATCAGCTTTTTGGTAGAAACCCGTGAAGATATAGCCAACGATATTTTTCTATCTCCCCTTACTTACACAGTTTCATATTACAAATTTCAACAGCTAATATTATTGTAATGGTGGCCATTATAAATAAAATACACTAAATTGACAAAATAAACCGATTTACACGACAGGACTCTTCACGTGCCCTACAAATAGTTCATAGTAAATAATTATAGTTACTAATGTTATGTTTTTTTATTGCTTAGATGTGTGGACATGCCCACAAGCTCATCCGGTGTTAAGTGGTTATTGGAGCCCATAGACATCTACAACGTAAATGCCGCGACTCACCTTGAGATATAAGTTCTAAGGTCTCAGACCTCAGTATAGTTGCATGATTAGATGTTATCCTTCACCGTGGAAGTCAATCGTGAAGATATCTGAAGTATGTATTTCATTAGAAAAATTTGGTACCCGCCTGCGGGATTCGAACACCGTTGCATCGCTACATACCAATGTACCGAACATCTTATCCTTTAGACCACGACGACTTCAATGAATAAATGTTAATTATTCAATCAATTAAATTTTTCACCTCAAGAATGAATAACCTAATTCAATTATTACATGAATTTAATAAAAGTGAAGGTTCTTTGAACGGATTGGCTGACATTTTGAACAGTTTCGTAACTTTTATTTCGCGAAATTTAATTTAAGTTAAATAAGTAAGTCTTATTCGTGTTCGATTTTGACATGGTTTATTAATATGTAATTATTATACATAATTTTCAAATACTTACAGTATGTCATGTAGTTCATGGATGTCACTCATAATGACACGTAGGTAGGTACCTACTCGAAAAATATGAATTTCTATGAATTGACCATATGACCATCAGATTTATACAACTGTGATAAGGTCGATTTTTGTTTAAAAAATATATATCATGTCGTACATATATGTCGCATGATTCAGCGTCGCTTGATTCCTTTGACTGATTTATGTTCCTTTTTCGTTTTCCATTGTTCTATCGAGCTTGTCAAATTCGAATGTAGCATATCATTATAAGATTGTTTAACTTTACCAGACAGACCAGTGTTTTTACAGTACACAAATTGAAACACGTTGTCGGACATTAGTAAAAAAAACATGACAACATGGTAATATAAAGATCCAAATTCAAAATTGTGTTGATTTTTTCTTTAATCGTGTTGTTTTATATATGTAAAGAAAGTCTTGTTCCTTTTTTTAATTTGAATTATGCCGCGCATGCGCTGTCGACATGTACTGGAACCATAGACCTTTAAAATAGGTTTCATACTTCAATGGCTGGAACGTCCGCGCATATGTTGTAAAGTCGAAAAGGCAGCCTTGACAAAAAGAAACAATATGACATTTCTTAAAATTTAAATAAAATTAATTTCTATTTAGATAACTACAAGATTATAAAATAAACTTTAAATTTCGTTTCTTTGTTCTTTCAGAGCAACACATTTAAGTTTTTATTTTAACAATACAACACTAGCTATATAAAAAGCTTATTAATCTTATATAATTATTTATATAACAATCAATATAATAATTATTTGATTAATTTCACAATTCCAATGTAATGATTCAGCCTCGCGTTATTCGAAGAGCTCTAATAATTTTTATACAATAGTATGCTTTTTCTATATCCCATTAATTTTTTTTTCAAATTATAGCAGATGCGAAAGAAGTTACTAGATTATAAAATTGTTATGTAGGGTGTTCCAATATGACGTTTCATTTACAATAGCCCACCATTATAACCGTTGTCGTGAGTCAAGCTGTCACTACTTGACGGATGACAAGCTGTTTTCCATTATTAATGACATACCTTCATCTTCACAATACAATACATATACAATACATATTAACATAGATTATACACTTAATATTTGAGACATATTAAAATAACACCTCGCATTGGAAGACGCTATAGCTTAAAGTTTCACAACTTTTGCGTTTGATCTGTTCATCACTGGGTTTAAGCCGTGGAAATGTACCTATTGGAAAACTCCGTCCATCAACAGTGCTTTCTATTCAATATTTTTGGCTACTTACAATTCCACTCCGGAATCAGCTTCCCTACTGCTGTGGCATTTAGGGAACATTCTTCAACAGAGGTTTGGAAAGAAACCAGTCAGTGCCAGTCGTCAAATTACAATTGAAATTGACCTGAATATTCTAATAAATATTGAAATAAATAAATTGAGTTTTTCTAGAAACTAATTAGTTACTGTGATATCGACAGAGTAGCCATGCATTAAGTTCGTCACGAACGAATGAGTCAGCCTTGGTAACATCTCGTGTTTCCTGGTACCCTTTTATCATTGTAATGAACAATTTGTACACAGCTATATAAAATTGTATAAGACCGTTCAATGTATTATCATTGACTACATATTTAGCATAAATAATAAATTCTAAATGAAGCTTCGATTTTTACTGACACAAAAATTGTTGTTAATTTATTTTTATTGGAATAAAAATTCTTCCTATATTAATTACATAATAAAAAACTTATATAAGACAGCAAATAATTAGAGGTGAGGTTACATTAATGATTTTGTTCAAAACCTTAGTGTCCATTCTCTAATTGTTTTAGCAGGTAAACCAGTTCACGTCCTGGTGTTGTGATGTAGTTCCCTGAGACATCATATCGAAATCTTGAATATCTGTCTCACGTACACATGACAATCCAGACATTGGTGGTGGTAATCATCCTTGTGGCTTCCTATTGGGTTCTATCAGAAATTTTATTACATACAAACGTATATGCCACCTTTTATGAAACCTATACTATGCTATGCTATACTATGCTATGCTATGAATGCTTCACAACAGAGTACCCGACCGGTGATCCTCCCATGCCGTCAGAACGTTTAGGTACAGTTCGGTGGAGATTTAACTTCCCTATTAAGTTTGTCGGTGTTGATATGAATGATGCCCTAAAACTATTGCGGGTAAAAACTGACTACAATTGCTTTGTTTTAAATCGTAGTAAGTATTTCACAATCGGATTAAAATCGGGATAGATTTGATAAGGCTTATGTAAGAATTGTTTTGTAGCGTATTAGAAGCATTTAAAGCAAATAACGATTATTTCCGGCTTAAGAACCTTTCGCAGATAGTATGTTATGAACCGCCATTCTAGCGTTATTTGATTTAATTAAAATTCGATATAAATTATTTAAATAAATTAGATATTATAAATTAATTAATTAAAAATATAAAATATTAATTAAAATTAATTATTTGATTAAAGCTTTTATTACGCAGAATCCATATTAAGCTTTCCATTAAATTCCTCAGTGCTGAGGGTCGTGGCCTCCTCTAATAACTTTCTCCTGCATCATCTTGCGCCATTCCTGCCTGTCCTTGGCTGTGTGGTTAGCAACGTGGACTGAGATATTGAGAGTGGAGCGTATCTGGTCCGACCAGCGCATTGGATTTCTGCCTCTGTGCCTTCTCCCGCATACCTTGCCTGTCACCAGCAGCTTCTCCAGATTCTATTCGTTCAGAACACAAAAAAATTGACGCAGCTAAAACTGCGGAAGTAGTATAAGCTAAGACAAGTAAATGATTGAAATAGCCTTAGAATAATTGTAATTGATTTAAACCAAGTAAATTTATCGTTTCTATCTTTTCAATTAACGAATGTTTCCGCTGAGCGGGCGCGAACTTATGTTGGAATGTTTTCGCTCACGACAATTGCATGAGACATCATAATATGGGTTACTCATTAAATCAAATTTCAGTACGAATTTCTCTGGTCGTTCCAAAACAAACACGCAACTGCGACATTGTTTACAGTTAAATGCATACCGACAGACAAAAATAATTTAACGACGAGTAAAAGAAAAAGTAGCGAATGAGAGCGAAACGCATCCGTTGCCAAATGTTCGATTCTATTCAACGTAGTTTAGAAAGTGACCTACAGTTGACAAAGGTCGGAAACGTTTGATATAGTGACATACCCTCAAGCACACAATGAGACCGAAAAAACACTTACATATTTATTATACTAATTTCAGAAAAAATTAAAAACTTCTTTGTGGCTTCCTCTATTTAATGACTTCGACATCGTTCTTAGGTAATAAATATTATACAACACATTAACTTTAATATTTGACTTAGCATTTTTTAAATACATATTAATTTTAATATGTCGAGCAGACTTGAAGGAAATAAAACTGGGAGGCAATTCAGATTCACTGCGAAATCCCCAAATGCAATAAATACGTCTTCTAAGAATTATCTGCACCTATTTGAATTAAATCTATTATTTAATTAGGCCTATTTATTAGGACCATCCGTGTCTTAATGATTTCAGTCATTTTACTTCTAATTTCCTAATAAGAGATTGGTTTTGTCATTCATAATCGGTATTGCGTGTTAGATAACAACGTTAACTCATTAGGGTGGTACGTATCTATCGGTTATTTAAACTACTTATCTATCTTATCAACGTTTGGTGCGTTCAACTGATAATCAGCTTAAAATGATCGGAAATGCGATGACAAATTTTAAAACGTTTACTTTTGGCAAAAACTAAAACCCAATTACGAAAAATTTACTACAAATCATGATTACACAGGCGCGTGGGCGTTGTGAATGTTTTATTGTCAAACCTACGACGGTCACAGAACCAAAATATGGCATAATTATATGATGCAATCATACATATTTTATTTATCCTAACTGACTAACGAGAACCTTCTCAGTTTGGAGCGAATCTATTTTTTTATTTACCCTCTATTCGATTTCACGTATTGTTTCCCAACATCCAAGCTAAATTGACGCAGGCGCATAGATTCCGCATTTTGCTTTGTGTCATGTAAAAACTTAAGTGCGTGAGAAGTCACACGCAAATGTCCATTATATCGCGCCACCCGTCTATTATTTGCCAAACTGAAGATTACTATTCATAGTTTTGCTGTATGGTTTAAACAAAAACAAATTGTGTAATTCTATTTTGCTAACGATTTAACCAAAAACTAAAATGTGTCAAAAAAACAAGTAGGTACGTAAGTTGCAAAAAGATTTCTGCATTATTTTGAATATTTGTAGATTATTTTACATATAGAATTATAGAAATAAACAAAACCTCAACTGACCTATGCGTTTATCGAAATGAAAGTTCATGCATCAATCAAAAGAAAGTGAAAAGTTATGAATAAATAATTATGGCTTGATATAAATAAGTCGGTCGACATACGAGTAGCCACATGTCTTGAGTTATTGATATAATGTAATTATAACATAGGGGGACATTTCCAAATACTACTCGCCTAACACGAAGAAAAGGATCCTGGCGATATATATATATATTACTTTGATGTAAGTTTAGACATGCTTATGTTTTGTATGGTGCATAATTATCAGAAATACATAATATGAATTATTAAAAAGTCATTAATTTATTACACTGCTTGAAAGTTTCATAACTGCTTTATATCGATGTTTTTAATCCCGCTTGCATTTTTTAGTATCATATTAAAGACTTAATTCATCTTGTAGTATAAAACTAGAAACCACAATCAACAATATCTCGTGGTTTTTAAATAAAATAAATTTGTATCAGCACAATAATACTGGAAATTTTGCGAGTTTTCGATTAGTGTCTCGAATTGTATATTAGTAAGCCTTCGGTGGTAAATGTTAAAAAGGATTTAGAACAGTTCGTTAATTACTATTTACTCTTCGTATATAGAATAGGAAAGATTTTCAATAAAATGGATTTCTATTTAACAAAAAGGTTTCTTCCTTATTAACATTTACACTTGAAAAAATTATTTTGCAGCGCCATCTATGTGTGATATAATAAACCGCTTGAGCAAACAAATGCTTTTCATACGTCCGGCCTCCTCAAGATGGCAGTAGTAAAATGAAAGTGTGACTTGGATTAAACTTTTCGATAGATGGCGCCCCTAGAATCGAGGAGATCATGAACTTGATGCATTGAATCACTCATTGAATGCATTGAATTTTTTTCTTAGGGATTTTATGACCTGGTACCTAAGACCTTTAGGTCATAATGCATTGAATAAAATAGATGCATAGATAATAAATGTACTTAATATTAAAGAAATAGGTGTGAAAACAATTATTTACAATATTAAACGTTATCTTTAAATGTTTATACATTACCGTGTAATCAAAGCTTTACCAATTATACAATGCTTTATTAAATATCTCATTAGGAATTATCAAAATCTCCAGTCTAATTAATAACAGTGACTGATCTGAGAGTCATTTCAAGTATTTACTGCTATTTTACTGTAAATTAATTAAATAAATCTCTATGTTAACAATTATTGTACGTAAAGTAGACATACCATATAACGTTAACCTTATGAAACATTTTTTTTTATCAATACTTATATCGCGCAATTTGTCGTTAATTCATTTTGCCGAACGAGGCTAAGTCTTAAATAGGTTTCAGAAGATAGTTGTAGCATTGCGCGTAGTTAAAATGAAGCATCTTTACGAAGATATTTTAAAAGTGTGAAGGTACCAATCTCGATGAGAATTCTGACAAAACAAAAACAGAACGATACAGGTTCTTTAAAATGAGTGTGCGTTGGCCGTGTAAAATCGGTTGCTCCTTGTCCGACGCAGCTTTTTTTTTCCTCCTCGAAGATGTATCAAGACGCATTATCCTGGCGAGCGAGGGGGGATCGCGCGCGTGCGCATAACTCGGCAATGACGTCACTTCAGGGACTGGTAAAAAATGCCATGAACCCGACCATCGTTTTAGCTTCGAGGATAATGTCAAATCGACATATACCTAAATGCGAAATATATTAATTGTAAAATAAGTCATAAATGCTTTTTGTTTAGTCACAGAGTTTTTATCGAGTTAATAAATGGTTATTCTTGTTAGATCAAAACTAATAGTTAAACTATTTAATAATAAAAAAACTGAGCATTGTATATATTAATTGATTTTTTGTGAACATTAACTCTGTATAGTTGGTACATGTAAATAATTACTTCCATTTGTTTACGATTAATATGAGTCGGCTGGATGTTTACATGTAATCCAAAACGCAAACCGCTTCTAAGTATGGCAAAGTTAATAAAGCTTAGATGTTATGTTACTGTTAAAATTCTTGGAACATCAGAATGATGTCTCCGTTATTTGACGAGACTATATTTTTTATCACGACTGCTACAGTTAGAAGCCCTACATAGATCTATATCAAACCATTTGGATATCCGTGTTAGATAGGAACAAAGAAATAATTACTATACCCACATATAGGAATGAATAATCATCAATAATGAGCTTGTTACGCATTTTTGAAGCGTCTCTTGAGTTTGGGTCTAACTTTGACGTTGGTATTGACTAGTCCATGGGTTCCGGTAACAATATAGCATTGGGTAGGGGGACATGAGTCATTGGTCTATCTATACCAATAAAATCGGTATTTTCTAGGGTATTTTTAAAACGTAGCCATAATTACTATAATAGTTAGACAATTTTCTCTTTGTTTTTTTTTGTTCCATACGAATTTTTATATTGAATGTACATATTCGAGAATATCGCACATTCTAGATCTAAGATTAACGGGTTACCGTTAAAAACCGGAACAAATGATTATCATACAGGGTGTAAATATCGGTTATCGAAATCAGATAAGGATTTTAGAATCACTAAGACATTATAATTTTAAATGGCCATCAGTGGCATCGGAGACAAAGATAGCTCATCCAATATTAAAACCGTAAAATTTTTTTTTTTGCGGATTTGAATCGAGTTCTGGGTTCGAAACGTGTCAAGATGAAACGGGTCTTCGAAAGATTACGTAAACACAAATAGGTGTTGTTATAATTACTACAGTATTTTAGTACAATCATGTTTCATTAAAATTTATATTTTTTTGTAAGAGTAATGTCGTACCTTAAATTACTCGTCACTCATCATCGTCAGCCCACAGAAGTCCACCGCTGGACATAGATCTCCCCCAAGGTTCGCCATAATGACCAGTCCTACGTAGCTTGCATTCAGCGGATTCTCGCAAACTTTAGCGGCAGGTCAGTCCACTTCGTAGGAAAATTACCCAGTGAGTCATCAAGGGGTTAATGATGTCAATTAAAGTTGTTCCAATTTGAACGTTATTACATGAGAGACACAGATGATATTGCCGGTCTACTGTCTGTGTAACAAAAATTTAAACGAACTCTTCATTGTTAACAGGTAACAGTGTGCGGTCACAGTACTGTTGCTGAAGTTGTATGCGAGCCATTGCAAGATGCGGGAACGGTGGTGGCTGGCATTCCCACTGGACCTTTATCAGTACCGCTTGCAGTTCCTCTCGGAGGACCTCTACCTCTTCCCGAGACGACACCCCCTTCAGCACCTCCAGCCGCTTTGCTATTCCTTGGTGGCTCCAAAGCACCCGTGGATCCAAGAGCTTCTGCTACGGTGCTCGAAGGTGAAGTTTTGGTAGCGGAATATCAGCCCCCACAATGGGACGGTCGAGACCTTGAAGTTTTTTTGGCATGGGAGAAAATATACGGTGAGTGAGGTTTAATTTTTAGCAGGATAATTCTCCAAACAGCTGCTAAGATTGAAACAGATTGATAAAAAAACATCGTAAAAAAAATTTGTTTAGACACGAATAGATTTGTGATTTGTCTTATTCTATCTACTGTAACGTAATTTGGATTACTTATTAAGGGAATACGTTATCTAGCCTATAGAATCTCGGCGATTAAGGAAACTATCTATCTATCTTCTATCTAAATATATAAAAATGAATTGCTGTTCGTTAGTCTCGCTAAAACTCGAGAACGGCTGAACCGATTTGGCTAATTTTGGTATTCAATTATTTGTGGAAGTCCAGAGAAGGTTTAAAAGGTTTAATATGAAAATATTCGGAATTAAATAAAAATAACAATTTTGCTTTCCCTTTGATGTGTCCCCCGTCAGACGGATTCCTTTTGTTTGTTTTAAGTTTATTTTACACAAAAGTTTAGGTCTTTTATTTATCGATTGAGGCAGCTAGGCAACAATAAAAATATTGGCGTTATTATAACATCAAGTAAATCTGTACGTTATCGAGTTTTTTAATTTAATGCGCTCCGTACTTGTGTACATTGCCGTCATAGGATGACTGTTAATACGAATTAATTTACCGCATGTAATTCAAAACATGTACAAACGAAATATCAATGACATTCATGAACTTTTCTTGTCTAGTGGAGCGCTTGATTATCGTATAGTGGGCTGCTCCTCATTCAGTATTCCACGTGTAGAATCAGCGATGTTTGTAGAAAGCGGTTTGGCAATAATACGTACGAGTATACGCACAACACACACTGACTATTGTCCGGTAATCTTTCGTAGAACTCACTTACAGTATGCATCGGGTTCTTACCAACCGTGACCGTAATAGCAAGTTAAATTTGAATATATTACGATTCGCTTAGTAACTGTTTTACGCTGGTCTGTTGCACCATCAAAATTTTAAAAGCTATCAACATCTAAAATTAACTTAATGAAATACAAACTTATTTTTAATGCTTTGCTGTAGGTTGAAAACTTACTTTAAGAAGCAAGTTAAAGTAAATTGATTTATACAACGAAAACACATCTATTCGGTATGATCATTGTCGCATAATAATTTAAGTATATTCACTAATTTTCAGGTATTTTTGAATTTACTTTGATGGGGTTACTTTGGGGGGGGGGGTTGAGTGGTGGTAGGACCTCTTGTGAGTCTGCCCGGGTGGATACCTCTACCCTGCCTATTTCTGCCGTGAAGCAGTGACGCGTTTCGGTTTGAAAGGTGGGGCAGCCGTTGTATACTGTGACCTTAAAACTCATATCTCAAGGTGGGTGGCATTTACGTTATAGATGTCTATGGGCTCCGGTAAATACTTAACACCTGTGGGCTGTAAGCTCGTCCACCCATCTATGGAATAAAAATAAAATAAAAATCATATTATTTTCTTTCAGCTTCATCGTTATTCTCAGCAATAGAACTTTACGGAAAACCACTCCTCCGGGCCGCAGTGATTTCAAGAGAAGAGTACCATATACTCTTCTATTATTTAGAAGCAGTTTCCGAAGCTAGTGACGCTCTCGCTGAACGAATGCGAAAATATATCGATTCTGGTCTAATAACGTCCGAAGCAACAACAGGCAATAATGAACCTGTAACAACTTCAAAAAATACTGTCGTCGAAGAAGAAGAACCCCAGAGCCTTCTTACTGAATTAATGCATGAAGGAGTAATTTCCCAACATGATATTGACGCTTCGTCTATTATAACCGGCTCTGAGGTAAATGAGAATGCAGAAAATCGTAAGTCAGATGATTTGTCAAGTTTGTCGTCGATCAGTACAAGTATACGAAAAATTATAGTTGATATACCATTGGATTGCAACGAGTCTCTCAATGATGCTTCCATTGTAGAGAGTAATGATAACGTTACTACAGTAACCATAAGAAATAGCGGTCAATGTTGCATTGACCACAGGATATCGGCTGACGTTACGGACAATGTATGGGCTAATGTCAAATGGAATTTTCTCAATCCACATGATTTTGGCTATGATCCCGTTCCAAGCGTCAAAAGAAGCCGGTCTGATTCTGCTATAACTCCAGTCACACAGCGAAAGAATGAAGACTTGTATGAAAGACTACAAGACGCCGATGGAGAGTCTTGCGGGAGCATTACTCCCTATGAATCAATAGAAGATCTATATGAATGCATAAAGAATGGACAGTATTCAAGCTCTGCCGTAGAAGAATCTCCATCTACAGAAAATCAATCTGAGCCACAGTATCCAGACTATTACGAAAAGACTAGTGTGAATCGCCAGAGCTCAGCCAGTAGTGAAAAGAGTGGATCGTCGTCTGCGTTTCAATTTTCAAAGTGTGGATCGAGTGAATCCACGGACGTGTTTATATCATGCGAGTCAACTAGCGGTATAAGTTCATTTCTCTCGAAGGCTATACCGCAATCACTGAAGCGTCGAGACTTACCGCCTCCTCCTGCTGAAGGTAACGCTAGTGAAAGTGCCATCCTGATGAAGCAACTTTTTATGGGTGAATTAATGGATGTTTACGGAGAATATTTGTCCGCATACCCCTATGCTCGTGCTCTGCTCCGTCGGAAAGCGCGTCGAGATGAACATTTTGCTGCGCTCGCGGATATTCGACGAGGGGCCGCTAAATACACGATCGCTGACTACCTCGAATTACCGGTGAGTATTCATAGCTTTTCATAATTCATTAGTCGACGGCCGAACTACACAGCGCCTTTGAACCGTGCCATTGTCATGTCAACGCTTGCAGTTGAGTTACGAAAGTTAGGATCGATGATCTTCGCTGCACTTGACCTTAACAAGCGAGCCGGCTTCGGCCAAGTCGAGTGTAATGAACGTGTCAAATGTGGTCATTACGTTTAATCGACGATAGAAACGAGAACAATGCGTCGAGGGACGGTGTTCAAGGAGATTGATTTAGATTGAAAGTCGGCTTAAACGTGGCCGTGCGCGACAATGATCTGCGCGACATGAGCACGCGCCGCCCTTTCAATGCTAATGGACCGGAAGACTGCACGTATAGCTCTCTCTAATCAGGCCTAAAGGTATTTTCCTTTGGACTTATTACGAAATTTCAGATTTCATTGAATCAAAGTATATAATACGATCAGTATTTGTTAACCTATGTTTTAAACTCATCCTAGTTTTAGATTTACATTGTAAAGACATATCTTATTTTATATGTTTTACGATACTGGGAACGTTTGAGATGAGAATTTTACAGACTAGATGTCTAGTAACATATTTCTGGATTGTCGTTTTATAGCTGCACGTGGTACGTGTAAAATCTATTCGTGATTCTGATTCTATCAACGAGACTCGCGCATTCAGCGATAGTTATAAAATGCTGTAACCGAATTAGGGTTGTTACATTTAATTTCTGCTAATCCATAATTCAGAAAATTGTTAACGTGACAAACTTGATTAAAACTTGTGATAAGCAATAAATATATGAAAAGCAGATAAGATTTGTTATGTTTAGTATATGTTGCCGGTTTTAGTGAGCATTTCCAGCCCTAATAAGCGCGTGATGTTGAGATTTGTCCCTCGCGCATTCAAGCTTATCTGATAGCACGGGTACCACTAATACTCTGGAGCTTTTACATTTGTTATTCAATGTGCATATCTCTGTTGAGCACCACGTAAATTTAAAGAGCAAACAGTCAATTAAGCGGCGATTCATGTTGTTAACAGCAATTTTAAAGCCCTCGGAACGTATAAAGTTGCATCAGATAAGTTTGATGATATTTGTTTGATGATGTCATATTATTTATGTGTATGTAAATTTTTTATGGATATTTTGAAGAGGCCATATTTCTAGTTTCAGGCTTTTCTCTCATTAATATTTTAGCCTTATTGCCTTTTAAACTTACATTTACACTTACAACCAAAAATACCGAATATCGTAATAGATATGGATAGGACTGTAATGTGTTTTGTATTTTTGCTAAACAAAGTTAATGTTGCATGATTCCCTACACCAGAACGATACAATTGACAGAAAACGAAGAAATAATAAGACAAAAGGTAATAATTTTCATTAGTAAAGGCATACCAAAAATAAAACGTGAAGCTTTACCTTACCTTCCTAATATGTAAAGTCAATTTGGTTTACCTACTTAATTGTTCTCAATTTTAAATCTGCATCTTACCCACGCTAACACAACAGCCGTAAATAAAACAAATATTATACTACACAAATATGTGTTGGTAGTAAAAAACTAAAAATAATTACGTGTTCATCGAGAGAAACCGACATGGAAATATTTCACAATAAATGTAACCCCATCTTTATGTATCGCCCACGCGGCTTACAAACAAATCGATACACATGAATACTGATAGATTATTCAGAATATTATAGTGTTATAGGTGAGTTGTAGAGATTATAATATTAATTTTTCCGTATCTCACTTATGGTTCATATGAAATCTTTTCGATTACAATTTCAACTATGGCAATGTTTTAGTGAATTTCGAAATATTGTTAGAACTAAGTAAGACTTCACAAAGCTGTTTAATTAATAGATATTTGTCTTTTTCCTGAGACATATTCCTGACACACACATATAACATTTGATTTTTTTTGGAGATTACAATTTAATTATGTTAAAGAAACTTTTCAGATTCATATACCATTTTTTGAAAACTATTGCGTGAAATAAAATTTATATTTTATAGTATAGACAGATCAACGAGCTCACCTCCCACCTGATTTCATATGGTTATCGAAGCCCATGGACATGTCAAGGTATGAATGTCACCTTCCACTTCGAGATTTGAGGTCCAAGTTACAATTATATCATTCTTTTTTTCCTCTACTTAAGCTGATGGTCTTGAGAGACCGTTTCAGCAAAGGCTTAACTAGTAGGTGAGCTCACGGGGCTCAAACCTGACGTCTTTGCTAACACGAACCCTAGCGAGAGCAGCAGAATCTAACACCGGATTGGAAACGCGACCCACTGAGAAGATCCGGCGAGAAACTCAGTGGGCTTATTGTATTGAAGTCGTCGGAACTTAAAGACTTCAAAGAAAAACTTAAAGACTAACTTAAGACGCCCGGTGCATTCGTATCAAGCAATGTAACGGCGCTCGAATCCCGCAGGCAGGTGCCAATTTTTCTACACACTTATCAAATGTTAATGATGAATTTTACTGTGAAGGAATAACATCGTGTAATAAAAAACAAACTCGCTCAATTATAATTTGCGTAGTTACTGGTGGTAGGATGTCTTGTATGTCCGCATGGGTAGGTACCACCATCCTTTGACTATTTCTAGCGTGAAACAGTAATGCGCTTCGGTTTGAAGTTTGGGGCGGCCGTTTTACTGTAAAACTGAGACCTTAGTACTCACGTTTTAACGCGGCGGCGGTATTTACATTGTAAATGTACATGGGTTCCAATAACTATTGAACACTAGGTAGTACCCGTGAGCTCTTCTTCTTTTTCTATCAGCCCACAGATGTCCACTGCTGGACATAGGTCTCCCCAAGCCTCGCCACTTAGATCGGTCCTGCGCTGTCTGCAACCAGCGGATCCCCGCGAACCTCAATAGGTCGTCGGTCCATTTTGTGCCGACGTACACACATACGTAACATTTTAAATAATAATATACCTTTGATTACTTTATGTAAATACTATCTACAAATTACGATTTACTAAATGTTACAAAACTCTTGAGGTGTCATAAATAGTAAATGTTAATGTCTTATAGATATTTACAATCGTAATCGTTAGCTTGGCCTGCTTAGTTAAGTATTTAATTTTCACTAAAATGCGCCATGGATATCTTGGCGTTCGCTGGATGAATGAAATTTCTATATCTTATTTCCTTATTACGTTCACAGAGATGTATGTTATTAATGAATTTATACAACCTCCAGCATGCGCTACTAAATTCTGCATCTACATGTAATTTATATGACTGCGTATAAATTTTACTAAACACAATCATTAGACTTGGTCCTTTTAGTAACTAATCACATCGCCAAGGATTTTATTACGTTATGAGTTTTACATCGAATTCTCAAAGAACTAAAAAAAGAATTTTCTTGATGAATCAAATGTCAGTGCTTATTAATATCGATTGATATCGTACTCTATGTAGCCGAGAGATCCGTTCAAAGAAATCGTAAATGAATTTATTTTTAGTGAAATAAAATTGCAGAATTAAAATCTTACATGCTTTAGGTAAATAAAAACTAGTGCGTGTATTTTTCAGTTATATATTTACATTTTACGTATATCTACAATCACAGCGTATATCAGTACAAGTGTGAACACAAAACGCGACCTGTTGTGGACGGAATTTTAAGCGATCATGGAAGACAGTCCCAGAATCTAGATGCCACAGCATTCCTTAAAAGCTATTAGTGCATATGTATACCTATGTATTAGACTAAAACAAAAGTCTGCGCCGAATATCAGTCAGATCACTTCGATTACGAAATATTATCTATTTTAAAACAGTACAGAGTGTTTGTTGTGGTTCTTAAAGTGCTGGTGCTAATTAAGTCAACTATACTGCAATTATATTAAAAGTAAATTTACAAATAATAAATGCGAAATTTATAGTTAAAATATTTGGAGTACAATTTTACATGTTTTACTTTTTTGGCGGGGTTTTTGAGTCTACCACAGATTATATCTCCGTGTGGTAGTGAACGATGCAAGCAGTTTTTGTTTAATATAACTACACAAGCGTCATATTACTCTGGAAAACGATAATGACCTAGTAGAAGTGTCCACTAGTTTGTGAGAATTTAAGAATATTTACAAAGACCACGTTTCCCAAGAAGACCAGAAGTCGAATTTCAAATAGTTTATTTAAAAAGTATTAACATATAATTTTGACAGCATAAATTAAGCTTCAAGGAGTTATCCGTTTTTTGACCATAGAACTCAAATACGTGCCCTATTGTAATTCATTCATAATTTCCATTTGTCATCCACAAAGTACGTCGTATATCAGGCTTATCATGTTACACCACATCCCTGATAACCGTGTTTAAATATAATTAGATGAGCTACTGTGGAGATTAAGGTACGTTGAAACATTGCGTAGAAAAATATACATAAACCTGTGAACGATTTTTAGGTGTATAAATTATCTTCATTGGATTCGTTTCCGTCTACGTACATAAAATACCAGTGGTACTGGAACTTAAATTCTTAAATTTTATGTCTAGAATAATATTAGATATCTTTATATTATATGTTAAATGAGTAAGTATATGAGCTCACGACCGGCGAGTGATAAGTGATTATAGGAACCCATAGAAATTGCAAATCTCCTATGTATTTATTGTATTATATAAAACACGTAACATATGTAACTATACATTGTATAACGGTCGCCTCATTCTTCAAATCTTCAACATAAATGTCGCCACCCCCCTTGAGACATGAGTTCTTTTTTTTTTTTTTTATTGCTTAGATTGGTGGACGAGCTCACAGCCCACCTGGTGTTAAGTGGTTACTGGAGCCCATAAACATCCACAACGTAAATGCGCCACCCACCCTGAGATACAAGTTCTAAGGTCTCAAGTACAGTAACGACGGCTGCCCCACCCTTCAAACCGAAACGCATTACTGCTTCACGGCAGAAATAGGCAGGGTGGTGGTACCCACCCGCGCGAACTCATAAGAGGTCCTACCACCAGTTCTAAGTTCACTTTATATATGTAGTATCTACAACGGCTGCCCTACCCTTCAAACTGGAACGCATTACTGCTTGGCGGCAGA